GCACTTACAATATCCTAGTTATCAAACACATATTTGAAACCGTGTTTATACTAAGTAAAAGAACAAAACACTGAACACACTTGAAAGACCCAAGTTGCCATTTTATGCAAAATATTCCACCAAGTACAAAAATCACATTCTTGGCAACATTGTAAAGGATATACTTTATCACTAGCTTTATCACTAACTTTATCACCCAGGAAATCACTCATATGATCCTGAATTCTAAAGCAAGATATTTCTTCAAAGATTTGTGTGTGAATGTGGATTTCAATACAAAGGCGGAACTGATGCTCCAACAAAGGCCAATAAAATTCATAAAAGCTCTCGGTATTTGTGACAGAGAGAGAGATACTCCAGAGACGAAATCCAAAAACTAGGCTATCAAGCGAACCCAAAATTCCAAACCTAGCTTTTCCTACCTTCTATTTATTCCCTAGATAGGGGGGGAAAGCCCCCAGCACCCCTCCCCCCTTTATTAACACTTCATCCCAAATGAGAGAAAACACGACATTAAGAACACAGGCTGTATGAGGGAGTTGTGGACTTAGTCTATGAGTGTTCTTTAGCTGTTGGAACATTCCTGTACAAGGAATTAATATGAACATAAACCAAGTGTGACAGACCACAGTGGCAGAACCCCACCTTCTGTTACTCTTTACACAGAACAAAGTTGTATTTGGTCTTGCATTACATAATTCTTCATATCACAGGAAATAGGATGATTAGAAGACAAAGCACTCAATTAATTCTTTATAGGTCATTCATAAGCCACTGTTTTGAAACTGAATTGTGGCAAACAAACAAACAAAAAAAGCCCCTTTGCTGTCGTTTACATTTTTTTGAGTCACAAAAACAATGAATAAGGAACCCCTACAGGATGAATAAATACTCGGGTACAGCAATGCTTGAATGGGTTGTTAATTGTCAATAAAAAGCCTTGGAATCCACATTCAATTACATTTCTCTGTGTAAACAAACCAGGACTACAAGCTCTATCTGGCCGGAATGTGTGCTGGAGGTGTGGATGGATGCCTTTGCTGGAGTGTTTTAACCATCTATCATTTGTAAATAAACAAATATATGGTAAAAGTTTACGACAGACCCATACCCATCTCAGATTAACATCCTTATTACAAAAGAATATCTAAAGGACCCACTCACATCTTACTGCAGAAGTTGAGATGACTTTACATTCTTTGCACAGATTGGTAGCCTAACAAAAATAAGTGTGCTTACTGTGTCTGGTCAATATGCTTAAACATTTATATGAAATATTTTCTGATGCCTATTCTGCCCAAGTTAATTTTTAAAAATATATATATTTAAAATAAAATTAGTTATACAAACATATGAAATTAAACAACTCTGATGAGAATATGGACAATCAATAAAAATACTTTTGAATGTACTTGAACTAGCCTGGCATTCCCAAATACCCTCAGGACAGCACATGAACATGCATAATATGAGACATATATCCCATATATATAGGCTTATTTGTCAGCTAGTGCAGGGTCATCTAACCAGGACACACAATGTACGCAGAATAGTGTTTAAACAACTCCCCTCTTTTCAAGTCATAACTAAAACGACATCTGGTTTTGGAAGATTTCTTCAAGTACACAAATCCAATTAATGGCCATCATTCACTTGCACCATCAAGTTCTTAGTATAATCTGCACTACTTTCTCAAGTATATACGACAAAGAGGAGATAGATAATAATGAGGTATATACAAGTGTCATGTACAATAAGGAATATAACCAAGTGTGGGTTATCATGGTATACTCATTTATTTACCCATTCATTTAAGTAATGACAACATATATATCAAAGTAAGGCACTGACATATACCTAGGGATAAAAAGAAAACTTTCTATCCCTCAAATTTTCTAAAAATTTAAAAACAGCACAAATTGGTTCCTTTCTTGATTAACTCTTTGCCGACGGGTGGTTTCCCCGATGCGAAAGCCCTCTCTCCCGGGCTGTATTCATAGTGGCCTGGGCCCCACTGCTAGGGGATCGTCATGCCACAGCATGTGTGGCATGACTGTACATGCTCCCGGAAAACGGGACCGGAGCACCATGGCACGTATGCACATGCCACCCGGTATATAGTCCAGGAATGCCATGGTATGTACGTACATGCCACCCGGTACATAGTCCAGGAATGCCATGGTATGTACGTACATGCCACCCGGTACATAGTCCAGGAATGCCATGGTATGTACGTACATGCCACCCGGTATATAGTCCAGGAATGCCATGGTATGTACGTACATGCCACCCGGTATATAGTCCAGGAATGCCATGGTATGTACGTACATGCCACCCGGTACATAGTCCAGGAATGCCATGGTATGTACGTACATGCCACCCGGTATATAGTCCAGGAATGCCATGGTATGTACGTACATGCCACCCGGTATATAGTCCAGGAATGCCATGGTATGTACGTACATGCCACCCGGTATATAGTCCAGGAATGCCATGGTATGTACGTACATGCCACCCGGTACATAGTCCAGGAATGCCATGGTATGTACGTACATGCCACCCGGTACATAGTCCAGGAATGCCATGGTATGTACGTACATGCCACCCGGTATATAGTCCAGGAATGCCATGGTATGTACGTACATGCCACCCGGTATATAGTCCAGGAATGCCATGGTATGTACGTACATGCCACCCGGTATATAGTCCAGGAATGCCATGGTATGTACGTACATGCCACCCGGTATATAGTCCAGGAATGCCATGGTATGTACGTACATGCCACCCGGTATATAGTCCAGGAATGCCATGGTATGTACGTACATGCCACCCGGTATATAGTCCAGGAATGCCATGGTATGTACGTACATGCCACCCGGTATATAGTCCAGGAATGCCATGGTATGTACGTACATGCCACCCGGTATATAGTCCAGGAATGCCATGGTATGTACGTACATGCCACCCGGTATATAGTCCAGGAATGCCATGGTATGTACGTACATGCCACCCGGTATATAGTCCAGGAATGCCATGGTATGTACGTACATGCCACCCGGTATATAGTCCAGGAATGCCATGGTATGTACGTACATGCCACCCGGTACATAGTCCAGGAATGCCATGGTATGTACGTACATGCCACCCGGTACATAGTCCAGGAATGCCATGGTATGTACGTACATGCCACCCGGTATATAGTCCAGGAATGCCATGGTATGTACGTACATGCCACCCGGTATATAGTCCAGGAATGCCATGGTATGTACGTACATGCCACCCGGTATATAGTCCAGGAATGCCATGGTATGTACGTACATGCCACCCGGTATATAGTCCAGGAATGCCATGGTATGTACGTACATGCCACCCGGTATATAGTCCAGGAATGCCATGGTATGTACGTACATGCCACCCGGTACATAGTCCAGGAATGCCATGGTATGTACGTACATGCCACCCGGTATATAGTCCAGGAATGCCATGGTATGTACGTACATGCCACCCGGTATATAGTCCAGGAATGCCATGGTATGTACGTACATGCCACCCGGTATATAGTCCAGGAATGCCATGGTATGTACGTACATGCCACCCGGTATATAGTCCAGGAATGCCATGGTATGTACGTACATGCCACCCGGTATATAGTCCAGGAATGCCATGGTATGTACGTACATGCCACCCGGTATATAGTCCAGGAATGCCATGGTATGTACGTACATGCCACCCGGTATATAGTCCAGGAATGCCATGGTATGTACGTACATGCCACCCGGTATATAGTCCAGGAATGCCATGGTATGTACGTACATGCCACCCGGTATATAGTCCAGGAATGCCATGGTATGTACGTACATGCCACCCGGTATATAGTCCAGGAATGCCATGGTATGTACGTACATGCCACCCGGTATATAGTCCAGGAATGCCATGGTATGTACGTACATGCCACCCGGTATATAGTCCAGGAATGCCATGGTATGTACGTACATGCCACCCGGTATATAGTCCAGGAATGCCATGGTATGTACGTACATGCCACCCGGTATATAGTCCAGGAATGCCATGGCACGTATGCACATGCCACCCGGTATATAGTCCAGGAATGCCATGGTATGTACGTACATGCCACCGGTACATAGTCCAGGAATGCCATGGTATGTACGTACATGCCACCCGGTATATAGTCCAGGAATGCCATGGTATGTACGTACATGCCACCCGGTATATAGTCCAGGAATGCCATGGTATGTACGTACATGCCACCCGGTATATAGTCCAGGAATGCCATGGTATGTACGTACATGCCACCCGGTATATAGTCCAGGAATGCCATGGTATGTACGTACATGCCACCCGGTATATAGTCCAGGAATGCCATGGTATGTACGTACATGCCACCCGGTATATAGTCCAGGAATGCCATGGTATGTACGTACATGCCACCCGGTATATAGTCCAGGAATGCCATGGTATGTACGTACATGCCACCCGGTATATAGTCCAGGAATGCCATGGTATGTACGTACATGCCACCCGGTATATAGTCCAGGAATGCCATGGTATGTACGTACATGCCACCCGGTATATAGTCCAGGAATGCCATGGTATGTACGTACATGCCACCCGGTATATAGTCCAGGAATGCCATGGTATGTACGTACATGCCACCCGGTATATAGTCCAGGAATGCCATGGTATGTACGTACATGCCACCCGGTATATAGTCCAGGAATGCCATGGTATGTACGTACATGCCACCCGGTATATAGTCCAGGAATGCCATGGTATGTACGTACATGCCACCCGGTATATAGTCCAGGAATGCCATGGTATGTACGTACATGCCACCCGGTATATAGTCCAGGAATGCCATGGTATGTACGTACATGCCACCCGGTATATAGTCCAGGAATGCCATGGTATGTACGTACATGCCACCCGGTATATAGTCCAGGAATGCCATGGTATGTACGTACATGCCACCCGGTATATAGTCCAGGAATGCCATGGTATGTACGTACATGCCACCCGGTATATAGTCCAGGAATGCCATGGTATGTACGTACATGCCACCCGGTATATAGTCCAGGAATGCCATGGTATGTACGTACATGCCACCCGGTATATAGTCCAGGAATGCCATGGTATGTACGTACATGCCACCCGGTATATAGTCCAGGAATGCCATGGTATGTACGTACATGCCACCCAATTGTCAACATTTTCACGGGCGTACAAACCGTACGCTAGGGGGGAGGGGGTCTGAGGTCCGCATACGCTTTTTGAAAACATAATGTTGATTTCTTTTATTTCTGAATTTGGTGGATTTTGGCTTTTTTGCTCAAGTTTTACCACGTTTTACTTTGGCTTTTTTTTTAACTAGTTGCTTGTGGATATTATTTGTACTGTAGAGTGTATTATTTCTTGAATATAGTTCTTCTGAGAAATCAACATTTTATTTTGTACACTTTTGGGAGGGGGGGAGGGGGTCCTGAAAAAGTGTACGTTTTGTACGCTCGTGAAAATGTTGACAATTGTGAACGACCCCTAAATAAATAAAAGGTTGAAGTAGTCAGCACAAGAAATAACCTGCACATGTGAACACTAATGCCCCAAATAAAGAAAAAAGATTGCAGAAATCACTGTACAGAGGCTATGTCCACTTGGTGCTCCCAAGTCTAAGTTCTATCTTGCCATACATATTGATATGAAGAGGGAGGGGCAGAGCCCCCCTTCAACCTCCCCTCGGGCTGTGCCCAGTCATAGAATTTAGATTGTTAAATAAAAGTTTATAACATGGAGTTGGGGACTTACTCTGGCGAGTGCATCCATAATGTAAAGATTTACCATATCATCATAGTGATGTATTTCATGTTCAATATTCATATTTTACCCTGCTATTTTTCTGGTACTTTCCATGCCCTTCCCTGTAATTGGAGCCAAGAATGTTGGGGTTTGGAGGGTTTCCATGGCATAATTTTTATATATGTGAGCAGTAGATTGGGAGGAGTCCATCAATACTGCTACCATTTTGAACAGTCATGTAAAGGTATTTTAAACAATTACCACGTCACCATGACAAAATGTCACAAAATAGAGAAAGCAAAAAATCTGATGAAATTGTAACAAATAATGTATGCAAGGGAAATTAAATGAGTTACGGGTTCCAGATATTTTCCTGGTCTCTATCTTGCTAGAACATATGAGGTGAAGGTGTTATAGGCCAGGTGTGGGGTGGGGGGGGTGGCAGCTCCCAAAAGGTTGTTTGGAGGACAAAGCCCCCCTAACAGGTATTGCGACAGCTAAATTCGGGAAAGGTTTGCTTCAATCTTTTGCTTTTGCCCTAAATTTCCCATTGGCTACGGGGACGAGCGTTTGATTCATTTGAACCACAAGAGCTTCAGAGGTTCCGGAAAAGAAGGGTTCACCCAGAAATTGCTGTCAGATGTTTATTCCAAATTTAACCAATTTTCTAATAAATCTCACGGTTAATGTTACAGAGAGCAATACACGGAGATAGAGGAAAATAGATTCTGCCATCTTACTGAGCATAAAAAATAGAGTATTAAACACATTCAGTTGCCCTGGCCTGCGCTGCACTACAATGAAATGACAAAATATCCACTCCACATCACCACCAGGAGAGTCCACAACACCGCCACACAGCCAGTACTTAATGTCCATTTTCTGCAACTTGCCACGAGGTATTAATAAAGGAGGGGGGGACAGAGGGGCTTCCCCCCCCGACTTGGGAATAAATAGAACACTGGAACGGTTGGGTTGGGTTTTCTGCAATTGCACGATACCCTGGTTATGGGACTTTGTCTCTAGAGGGTGCATCACTCTCGGTAAAATTGCCTTAACAATAACTGGACATTGTATTTTCCCTTAGTTGTGTAAAGAAAAATTGCTAAGACTTGAAAATAGCTGTAATGAGCTGCAAATAGAATTCCCGACCGAGAATGATATTTTCAAGAAAATAAAGAACAAGAATATAAAGAGCAAGAATATAAAGAACAAGAAAATAAAGAAGCCACAAGGAATTCCACGCCGCCTTGCTTCAAAGACCTTCACAAAACGGCCATTTTAACTAGGGGGAAAAAATCTCTGACCTAAACCTCAGAAAGCCTCAGCCACATCCCACTCCCACCTGCCTCTCCCTCGAAGGATCCCTCAACCTCCCCCGGAAAAAAAAGCAAATAAACGCGGTAAATAAACTATCTCTCGAGTGAAGGCCGTGGACACACACTGGCCATCAGGAAGCGAGACCCTGCGCCTCCAACAAACCCCCTATTTCCCGGCCTTCCCCAACCCCACGCCTGCCAGACTCCCTCTCACCCACCTCAAGCCTCCCCAACAACTCCCCCACGACGTCCACCGGGCTCGCGAAGAGGGCACAGGGGCGAGGAAAGGGCGGAAAGGCCGGACCGCTTCTTGGTCGCCACGCTCGGCCGAGGGAGGAGGCGCCTGCTGCCATCTGGCGGCGGCGGCGGAGGCGAGCGGGGCCGAGGGATGGGGGGGGGGGGAGGCGAGCATTGGAGCCGAGGGGGGGGCTCGCAATGGCTCCGAGCTGCGGCCTCGGTCATGCACTTTGGTTGCTTGGCTTGGCGGTTAAGGGGGAAAGGGTTGTTGGGTTTGGTCTTGGAAAGGGTTTACGTTTAAGGGGGTTTATTTGAATAAAAATACGGGTGGCCATCATGGAAGCCTGCATTCAAGCCGAAGCAAAGGCGGGTGCGTCCTAGGCTCCCTTTCTGATACTCATTCTCGGTTTTTATCGCCTATTATTTCCTTGGCGATGAGATCTTATTTCGTGTCCATGGGCGATTCTTAACATACGTCTAAATATGAATTTTAATGTAATGCAACGGCGGATGTACACGTACATTCAAGGCGAAGAAGTCCTAAGCTGCTTTTGGCTATTGTTCATTCTCTATTATTATCGCCTGTTATTTCCTCGGTAACTGGACTTTCTATGAGTGCAAAGATTGAAGCAATGTGTTATCCGATGCCTAATTTTGGTTTGTGGGAATCTTTGCCAATAAAGTAGAGACAAAAAGTCGCATTCATGACGTAGGGAGTCGTGCGCTGTCTCTCTTATCGTTTATTCTACGTAGCTTTTATCACGTAGAGAGAGAGAGAGAGAGAGAGAGAGAGAGAGAGAGAGAGAGAGAGAGAGAGAGAGAGAGAGAGAGAGAGAGAGAGAGAGAGAGAGAGAGAGAGAGAGAGAGAGAGAATGGGGGACGAGAGAGAGAGAGAGAGAGAGAGAGAGAGAGAGAGAATGGGGGACGAGAGAGAGAGAGAGAGAGAGAGAGAGAGAGAGAGAGAGAGAGAGAGAGAGAGAATGGGGGACGAGAGAGAGAGAGAGAGAGTGGGGGACGAGAGAGAGAGAGAGAGAATGGGGGACGAGAGAGAGAGAGAGTTACCATTCTCTTTACTGCTTTGGGTCGTTCTTATTTCTCGGTTTGCTCTCTAGTTTGTTTTTGCTTTATATATAACGTTATATTTCCCTCGCATTGTGCTTTCTCGCTTTAACGTCTTACCATTTACTTCCTGTCGCGTTTTGCTTGTCTTCTTTTTACTCGTTTTATTCCTTCTTCCTTCTTTATCACATTATCATTGTACTGCTTTTCTCCTTTCTTTATTTTAAAGCTGTCTTACCTCATTTATCTTTCTACCTACATTTATTTATTGACTTATGTATTGTATAATCATTTGCTTGTGTCTTTTATTCCCCTTTAGTTTATTATTTCTTCACTTACATTATGACATATTTTTAATTTACCTTTCATCAATTACTCTCTATTATCCACCCTTGGTCATGGTTAATGGTTAAAGGCAAAACAATAAGCTAAACCAGCATTGGTCATTGTTTATTCCTTTTTACGTGATATAACATTTTCTTTCTTCCATTCTTAGATTCTTAGATGTTAACTTAAATTCTCTTTTTTATACTTTATTAGTTACCATATTTCTTGACTTACTTGCCATAGTCGTACTTTCCGATGTTCATCATATTTAGATTTTCTTAGATTGCTTGTTTTCCTGTTTCGAAATATGTACTGCGAAAGTTAGTTCATTTTATTTAATTTAATTCGCACAATCCAATTTTTTTTTAACAACGTTGAATTGTGAGTAGGTTTGTTTGAATGTGTGTGTGTGTGTGTGTGTGTGTGTGTGTGTGTGTGTGTGTGTGTGTGTGTGTGTGTGTGTGTGTGTGTGTGTGCGCGCGCGCGCGTGCGTACGTGCGTGCGTGCGTGTGTGTGTGTGTGTATATGTGTGTGCGTGTGTGTGTGTGTGTGTGTGCGTATGTGTGTGTGTGTGTGTGTGTGTGTGTGTGTGTGTGTGTGTGTGTGTGTGTGTGTGTGTGTGTGTGTGTGTGTGTGTGTGCGCGCGCGCGTGCGTACGTGCGTGCGTGCGTATGTGTGTGTGTGTATATGTGTGTGCGTGTGTGTGTGTGTGTGCGTATGTGTGTGTGTGTGTGTGTGTGTGTGTGTGTGTGTGTGTGTGTGTGTGTGTGTGTGTGTGTGTGTGTGTGTGTGTGTGTGTGTGTGTGTGTGCTTGCGCGCGCGCGTGTACGAGTTGTTATAAGAGGAATGTGATCATTTAAAATTATACTTAGATCAGACTTGAAGATCTACGCATTTTTTAAAATTCAGTATTAATTTGCTTTATCAATTATCTCTCGCTTCTATTTTTTAAAGCTCTTGTGTCAACGTTGGATTAGGTAGCGAGAAAAACCTCATTATCGTGCTCCCTGTCTTGCCTCGCGTACAGTCAGGCCAAGTTTGAATCTGAGACGAACTTGTAGACAGAGCAGCTCCCGTAAATATATTATGGGAGCCACCGCAATTAGCACACGCGTGACTGTGCAGAAAAATCTGAATAGTCATGACCAAGATCTTGGGAACATGGGCAGCGGTCTGTGGAGCAAGTGTTTGGTACGGTGACTAAAATGCCATCATTTCTGATTGCACAAAGCAGGACTCCGTCAATATAAACTTCATGAGGGAGGTCATGTCAACAGAGGGTAATCTTGACAGCCTCTGGGAGGAATAGTGTAGCACTGTTCTGACACAGCGTCACAGTTAATGAGGTATGCAACCAGGTTTTCAGTCTGACCAATGCTTGTCGTAGACGGGGAGATGAAAACAGTCCCGGTACAAGTATTAAAGGAGTGAGGCTGGACATGAATAAATTTGCCAGTGAGGTCAGTCAGGGTAGACAATGCACGAGCTTGGGACTCTGATGAAACTATTAGATGTGAACAATTGGAAAGGAATCTAAGCCCTATTTGTTTTTCGAGACATTGGTGGAAGAGGAGTGTATTGTCAGAGTGAGGAGCTGCAGGAGGAATCACAAAGAGTCAATCCTATGCCGCCGTTTTCGACAGACGGCCAACGCAACACCTCTCGCGCGACAGAAATCGAATTACTAGATGCGTTCCTGCTACTTCGGTTATTTTCAAGCACATTCATGCTTATATTGGGTTCTCATAGCACAACACAACCTACCATAAGACATCAAAAGCCATCTAGGATATTACATTCCAAAATAATATATACCAGTCGAAAAATAACCAATACAGCAACCGCGGCTATTCCCATTAAGTCTCCAACCATGAAACGGCCGACGCTCTAATTGCCACTAGAAGAGATGGCACTGTTTGGCTGGGCGAAGAGAGAGAGGGAGAGGGAGAGGGAGAGGGAGAGGGAGAGGGAGAGGGAGAGGGAGAGGGAGAGGGAGAGGGAGAGGGAGAGGGAGAGGGAGAGGGAGAGGGAGAGAGAGAGAGGGAGAGGAGAGGAGAGGGAGAGGGAGAGGGAGAGGGAGAGGGAGAGGGAGAGGGAGAGGGAGAGAGGAGAGGGAGAGAGAGAGAGGAGAGAGAGAGAGGAGAGAGAGAGAGAGAGAGAGAGAGAGAGAGAGAGAGAGAGAGAGAGAGAGAAAGAACTCAAATGGTTTGAAGAGGTGGAAGTAGTAGAAGGATGAAAGAGGGAGGAAAAGGGCCTAGTGTGGAGTGAGGTTATACTGTGGAGGGGAGAACAGTAAGGATGAAGTGTAGTAATAAGGGAGGATATGGAATGGAGGATGTTGGGTAAGAGAAAAGGGTGTACTGGAGTGGATCAAGCAAGTACTGAGGAAGGGGAAATGGTTAATGGTTAGAAAGCAAAACAAATGTGCTAGACATCAAAGGTCATATAGCACCATATAAAGGTGTAATAGTTAAAAGGGTAAAGAGGGGGTTATTTGCTGATTAAATGTGCTACAGTTCACGATAGTATGGCATTGAAAGGAGCAAAGAGGGGTGAGGCTAGAGAGGGTGAGTAAATGGAATAAGCCAAGGAATGACATGGGTGATTAGATCAAAGTTGTTAAAGGCAGAAGTATGGGATTCTGCAAGAATGTCTGTAGGGTAAGGTAGGGAATAGCAAAAGGTGAGAGGGGTTTACAGGTGATTATATAAAATTTAAGGAGAAATGTCAGAGGGAAGAGATTCGAGGGAAGGGAGTTGTTGTGACAAAGACTCACGTGTATCCAGTTGAAGCAGAATGGATAATGGGGAAGGAAGGGAGGATGATGTAGATGACGCAGGTGGGAATGGAATGTGCTGGGAGGGAGTGGGAGGAGGGGGTGTAGGGGAAATAAGAGTAGGAGGAGGACGGACGTCGGCAGTTATTTTGAGTGTAGAGAACGAGGGAGCAGAGATTGCACATTGGATGAGGTGTAGGCATGCTATCTTAGGTCATGATTAGATAGTTTAGAATGTCTTTGAGAGTTTCTGAAGTGGATTTGGTTGGGGAGGCTTGAGAAACAATATCTTTTTATGAGGGTGAGAAGAGGAAATAGGCATCTGATGAGTGGAGGAAGAGGGAGGTGGAGAGGGTGTGATAGAAGATGAGGTGGAACATTTAGATTGTCTGCTACGGGTAAACTGAGGAGAGCAAGGGGTAGGTGTCGGGGCAGTGGTAGAGACTGGGGTGTCTGGATTTAGAACTGCAAAAGGTTTTGATTGGGAGAGGAATGGGGTAGAAGTGTATACATAAGATGGAGGAAGAATAGATATGGGTGGGGGATGAAGAAATATCTTGGGAGGAAGGGGGAAGGGGCAGAGTGAAGGGCGCCACTGGAGTAAGGAGTAAGAGAAAAACCTTGTTGACGTGCTTCCTGTCTGGCCTCGCGCAAAGTCTGGGGTCAGGGAACTGGAAAAATTAAAGTCAGGGTGGCTAGCTGATAAAGAGACAAGCCTCATTGCCCCTAACAGGGGTAATGACTCTTCATTATAGACCCTGTTAAGCCTGGAGTATGTCGAGGAGAGAAACAGTCCACCCCTTAAGATCCCATTGAAGGGTAGGGGCTTGACAACTAAAAAGGGGAATGCTGTGCCCATGGCTCCACAAGATTAGGGTGATCCCATTACATATAATAATTATAAAGATAATAACAATAATGATAATAATAGTAATATTAAATAATGATAATTATTATTATCATTACAATAA